TCCAGTTCATCCTGAAAACATTAGATCTAATGGGAATAACATGGGAGTATGCAAAATGAGACTATATTGACACATCCTAGACATGTATGCCAAGATCCCTGAAAACGCCTGGCGGACATTCAAGACAGAAATTGTAGACTAATGCCGATGACAAGAAAACAGCATTGCATATATGGTTTGCACTGATTTGCTGGCAAAATGTCTGTGTCTAATATTAGGTAGATGTGGATATCATTTTTTCTGCTCCTGTGAAAAAGAAATCGGGCATGTGTAAAAGCTAATGTCAGGGGAAAGATCAAAATCATTAATCAGATAAATACGACTGCTCTTTGACTGAAATTACAAGTGTAAAACCATGCAAAAGATATTGAAAGTGTGTATATTTTCTCTGTGAATACAGAAAAATAATGGCAGTGGCACTTCTAATATTCCAATATGCAAAAACTCTTTAGCTTGAGAGATGGTATTTTGTCGTTCTATAAAGAAAAGAAAATATGGATCTTTACTCACAGAAGATTACATAAAAAATGGATTCTGCAAAACCAAAACTCAGTTTCATATTCATTCATTCATTGTTATGTTTTGCTGATATTTTACGCAACACACTTTGACTGCTGCCATCATGACAAAGGGACAGTTCCCCCCAAAATAGAAAATTCTTTCACAATTTACTCACTTTCATGAGAGATATTTTGAAAAATCTCCATACAGTGAGTCAATGTTGTCCACTGTTCGTTATTGTTTTTGGACACCACTGACTTTGACTGTATGGACAGTTAGACATTCCTCAAAAGATCTTCTTTTACATTCCATAGAAGAAAGAAAGTCATACAGGTATGGAATGACATGAGGGTTAATAAATAATGGCAGAATTGTCATTTTGGGGCGAACTATCCCTTTAAGAGGCTGTTCATCCAACATAACTGCTACAAACACTTCACAACGAAAACTAATCTTATTCATAATAACGCATCTCAAACCATCAGTTTTTAAACAACTTGCTTCTGCAGTCAGACTTAATCATTGGCACGCAGTGTGAAGTTAATGCATTTAGCATTATGATTATCTTATCCACACTGATGAAACGGCTGCAGAGCATAACAGTTTTTCCTTCCTATACACTGCTCATCTTTGTGTACCACTGCTCCCGATGTGTGACTGAAATACGTTATGCAGAAAACTGAACATTTTTGAGATGCAAAAATGAATGTCTCTGCAAAGAGTCATTTAATGGACAGAGATGAAGCACTGTTTTCATCGCCAGCTACTCTTTTCAATCTAGACCTGCATAAGGAAATATGCAGGAAAATCTGAAGTGCAAAGTGTCTGAGTGTGGTAATCAGTTATTTCAAGATACTCAGCTCATGTTGAAAACATCTCAGAAAACAAAGTCCACAATAATATCTCAATGGCTTTTTCGATTTCTTTTTCCTGTTTCATGTGGCCCCTCTTTAAAATTGAACGTTCTGAATGCAACGAACGCTGCAGGTGAAGCAGGGTGGCATCTTTCACTTTGTTCACTGTGATATTGAACATGGCACAGTTGTTGGAATAATGGGGCCAGGATTAAGATTTCATCCTTCAGCCTGACACATTGCTGCAGACAGCTTCACAGCTTTGCAGAGCTGTCTTCAGCACCACTGCTGTGGCTCTAGATAATTTTTTTCTTACAGTGACTGCTTTGATATGGGGGGAAAAAACACCAGAGTGGTCGCTCTCTTTGCTTCAAGCGCCCTTTCCTGCTGTGTGACAATTCCCTGCCTAGATTCATTCCAAAAAGTGCCCACTCCCCCCACTCACAGCCCAGTCACCCTTCACAGTCAAGCCCTATACTATCAGAATGTCAACTGAAGGCATTGTGCGAAATTATACCCATCCAACAATCTCTAACCCAAAGCCTAGGCCTAACACTTGTTAGACCTGTTTAACTTCTAATCACTGTTATCAGCTAATCCTCCAGCACTACAAATGTATAATTTAAAACTAAAATTCAAATGTATTTATGTATAATTAGTGATAGATTGATATATTGGCCAGCAGTGACAGAAATGAACTTTTCCACTGAATGGATGATTGAATCATTCACTCAGCCGCTTCATTCAAAAACGCCATTTAAAAGCAATGAAATACCACTGTTTGTTGCTGTGGCTTTGTTTGGAACCATTTTCAATGCCAAAATAGAGCAAAATCAGTAATATTTACAATATTGTGCCTAAAAAGTAACAATATTGATATCAGTAACACATTTGCATTCTTGCTTATATTTGAGGAAAACAGCACTTGCTTGTGTGATATTGCTTAATTATATCAAACAATACCAATACAAGACAAAAACCCATACATGGGGCATTTTTTGCCCATATTTTTAATTTTTGGGTTATTTTTACAACAAGGACCTGTTAATTTCAGACCCTATTGGCAGGCCAATTAATTGGCCAGTAATTCGTCATTTGCAAATTAGTGCACATTTAATTTATAGAAAAGATAATTCCGAATTATTATTTTTTATTTTTTTAGATGAGTTTATATCTCACAATTCCAACCTTTGTCTCAGAAATAAATCTTTTTTTTTTTGTTGACATTTTTAAGTTTTTTATTTTGTGGTGAAAAATGGCTTCCATATAAGCCTGCATGACTTTCTCTTTTATACATTTTTATAAAACAAAACTTTCATTTTTAAGCACTGCTAGATTGTTTGTGGTTTATGTTTGCCTTTATGGTTTTTGCCACTTCGTCCATGCATTTAAGCCCGATTAGTCCATAAATGGTAAGTGAGGGCAAATGGATGTTACAAAAAACATCAACCTAGTAACCTGCTTATGGTTAGCAAAGGGCCCTTCAAACATGGTTTGCAAATAGTGGTTAAAACCACTACTGAGAGCCAAAGTCTTTCTTCTACAGAAGAAAGAATGTCATATAGGTTCGGAATGATATGAGGGTGAGTAAACGATGACAGAATTTATAACTGAATTGCATTGTAACACAACTAATACTGTAAAATAAATCTAGTGCAGAAAAGGACAGCATTGCCAATACAAAGATCTAATCAAGCCCCCAAGAGGGAAAAAGGAAAACTCACTTCAGTCCATTGACCTTGGTTCTGTACCATGAGCATGACGCAGGGGTCAGACTTATTGAGCGTATCTCGGTCCAGCAGGGACTTGCAGGAAACACGCAGCTCCACCTTGGATACGCAAGCAACAGGGCCTCCTATGCCTGCCACTGGGGACGTCGCTTCCTGTGAGTCACTCATCCTGACAGAAAGTTGAGTGCGGAGGGTCAGCCGGAGATGGGAGACAGCAGTGTCAATGGGCTGTTCTTTAAAAGCCTCAGTTTGATTGAAGCAGGACTCTCCCATGCAGGGAGTCGATTTTTTAATGTGACCTTGTGTTGTTTCTTCGTAAGGCAAAGGATGTGGGATCTCTTAAAACATCTGTTAGTTCGACTTAAAGTTCTTTACAGAGAGACATCTCTATGCGTGATTCGCTTTAGAGGAGAATGGGCTGCTGGGAGTGGTTCAGATTTAAAGGGATCAAATGGGATGTTGTAAATCAGAGATGTCCATTAATATTACAACAGCAAAATCCCAGACGAGATCTTCAGTTGACAGCCTCTTCCACAACAGACTCCTAAGCAAGAAATAAGCATGTGGGGGTAAGAAATATCAGGATGTGCATTCTAAATGTACTTTTAACATCCAGTGAATGGTCAAAAGCACTGAAACCACATTGAAAACACAGCTTACATACAGATATACAAGAAGGTTTATAAGTGAATATATAAACTGCATGAGTTAATAACATGAATATTTTACAAGGATCCACGTGTTGGACATACACATTGTGATCAGGAAGTTTGTGTGCAGGCGAAGCATTTTCTTATGCAGATTTCGCAACGGGTTCAAGTTAGTCAAGTGTATTTATGACCAACAGAAAGCTGCTTGGTTTGAAAGTGACTTTTATGTGAGATATGCTTCACATATCTGAATGGATGATTGAATCATTCACTCAGCCGCTTCATTCAAAAACGCCATTTAAAAGCAATGAAATACCACTGTTTGTTGCTGTGGCTTTGTTTGGAACCATTTTCAATGCCAAAATAGAGCAAAATCAGTAATATTTACAATATTGTGCCTAAAAAGTAACAATATTGATATCAGTAACACATTTGCATTCTTGCTTATATTTGAGGAAAACAGCACTTGCTTGTGTGATATTGCTTAATTATATCAAACAATACCAATACAAGACAAAAACCCATACATGGGGCATTTTTTGCCCATATTTTTAATTTTTGGGTTATTTTTACAACAAGGACCTGTTAATTTCAGACCCTATTGGCAGGCCAATTAATTGGCCAGTAATTCGTCATTTGCAAATTAGTGCACATTTAATTTATAGAAAAGATAATTCCGAATTATTATTTTTTATTTTTTTAGATGAGTTTATATCTCACAATTCCAACCTTTGTCTCAGAAATAAATCTTTTTTTTTTTGTTGACATTTTTAAGTTTTTTATTTTGTGGTGAAAAATGGCTTCCATATAAGCCTGCATGACTTTCTCTTTTATACATTTTTATAAAACAAAACTTTCATTTTTAAGCACTGCTAGATTGTTTGTGGTTTATGTTTGCCTTTATGGTTTTTGCCACTTCGTCCATGCATTTAAGCCCGATTAGTCCATAAATGGTAAGTGAGGGCAAATGGATGTTACAAAAAACATCAACCTAGTAACCTGCTTATGGTTAGCAAAGGGCCCTTCAAACATGGTTTGCAAATAGTGGTTAAAACCACTACTGAGAGCCAAAGTCTTTCTTCTACAGAAGAAAGAATGTCATATAGGTTCGGAATGATATGAGGGTGAGTAAACGATGACAGAATTTATAACTGAATTGCATTGTAACACAACTAATACTGTAAAATAAATCTAGTGCAGAAAAGGACAGCATTGCCAATACAAAGATCTAATCAAGCCCCCAAGAGGGAAAAAGGAAAACTCACTTCAGTCCATTGACCTTGGTTCTGTACCATGAGCATGACGCAGGGGTCAGACTTATTGAGCGTATCTCGGTCCAGCAGGGACTTGCAGGAAACACGCAGCTCCACCTTGGATACGCAAGCAACAGGGCCTCCTATGCCTGCCACTGGGGACGTCGCTTCCTGTGAGTCACTCATCCTGACAGAAAGTTGAGTGCGGAGGGTCAGCCGGAGATGGGAGACAGCAGTGTCAATGGGCTGTTCTTTAAAAGCCTCAGTTTGATTGAAGCAGGACTCTCCCATGCAGGGAGTCGATTTTTTAATGTGACCTTGTGTTGTTTCTTCGTAAGGCAAAGGATGTGGGATCTCTTAAAACATCTGTTAGTTCGACTTAAAGTTCTTTACAGAGAGACATCTCTATGCGTGATTCGCTTTAGAGGAGAATGGGCTGCTGGGAGTGGTTCAGATTTAAAGGGATCAAATGGGATGTTGTAAATCAGAGATGGCCATTAATATTACAACAGCAAAATCCCAGACGAGATCTTCAGTTGACAGCCTCTTCCACAACAGACTCCTAAGCAAGAAATAAGCATGTGGGGGTAAGAAATATCAGGATGTGCATTCTAAATGTACTTTTAACATCCAGTGAATGGTCAAAAGCACTGAAACCACATTGAAAACACAGCTTACATACAGATATACAAGAAGGTTTATAAGTGAATATATAAACTGCATGAGTTAATAACATGAATATTTTACAAGGATCCACGTGTTGGACATACACATTGTGATCAGGAAGTTTGTGTGCAGGCGAAGCATTTTCTTATGCAGATTTCGCAACGGGTTCAAGTTAGTCAAGTGTATTTATGACCAACAGAAAGCTGCTTGGTTTGAAAGTGACTTTTATGTGAGATATGCTTCACATATCACTACACTACTGACAATGGCAAAGTTTTAACCCATTATCTTGATTTCATTGTGAGGTTAACCCTTTAACCTGACAGTCAGAATATCTTTCTTTAACTTTTTTTTACACTTTACACTTTTTTACACTTACACTTTTCTTTACACTTTTTAAAAGAAAACACAAACATTTTGTGATATTTCTGTAATGAAGTGGAAATTGTATCGATGTTATGTGATTATGACACTGAACAGTGAGGGATACCGTTACTACAGGTGAGGGGGCCGTTCACCCATAACGCGTTTTTACATTCTACTGCGCTGCTTTTCCATTGTTTTTATGTTTTTTATGTAAACATGCGTAGGCTACGTTTTGCGTCTTTTGCATCGTCTTAAGTCACTTACGTTTTTTATTTATTTATTTGTTTGTTTGTTTTTTATTCCAAGTAGGCGCCGTGACTTGTCATCAAACTTTGTAACACGACTAAATAAAACTATGCAATTGTAGACCCCTCCAACCTTGTGTTTTGACTTCCTTTACAGTGCTCAAGCCAACCCACCCCCTGTAATTCGTATCCTGCGGTCATATTTCGTAATCATAATGTTATAATGTGCTTTATTATGCATTCGACGTTCACCCTTTAAACGATCACATCAGCAAACGCGACGCGTAAATCTATCAGCCAGCAGAGCGCGCGAGGTTCAGCACCGCAGATCATGGACAGCTCCTCGCATCTACTGTATATCCACTTACTACAACAACAACCAATTACAGCACGGTTAGTGAGCTTTCTTGCACTGCTGTTCCTTGCGTCTGAACTATTGTTTGATTCAAATACTTAAGTTAAGAATTACAGGCTATCACTAATGAAATGATTAAACGCGTGATCATGTAACTGGCGCTTGTACTACATGAATCTACTAGTTTTGGTATGCAACACGAATACACCGTTTAACGCAAAGAATTCAGTGTCAGTGGAGTGAATAAAATGACAATAATAAAGTACTACGAAGTGACTGTTAATAGATTACACTTTAGCCCGGTAAACTTCAGCTCTCTCGCATCTGCAACGCAACGTTTGTTTGACAGTTAACCCCCATTCACTTTATATCCTCTATTACTTATCAAACTCGTATGAATGTAACTATAACTGAATGTAATTTTTTTTTTAAATTGCATCCTTTACCTTTCCGCAAAGATTTGCCAGCACTGGTAAGTTAGATATCACATAGGTAAATAAACAGCCTAATCATTTGTCCCCAATTATCACTAACAACACCGCATATGCAAAGCAGTATATAGGCTAATAGTAATAATAATTAATAATAATAACAATAATAATCATACACATTCCTTGATGACTAACAGCAAACATAATCTAGTGAGTGTAAATAAGAGAGCTGTGTTCTCACCTGCTGTTGCTGCTGCTGCTCTTCTCTCAGTGTGTGTGTGTGTGTGTGTGGAGCGGCTGACACATGCCCACCGCGCGCTAGTTCGGCTGTCATGTTACCTTGAAGAGCTACATTAGAGTGAATTTAACAGTCTCAGCTGGGAAAAGTCTTTCTCTGACGTCAATTTCGGCAAGAATCGGCATCCTAAGCTTGAATGAATGTGCAAAATCATTTACAGCCTATAAGGGTTCCTTTTTTGAAAAATAAATAAATTTCTGTAAAATTTTCATAAATTTCATGTGCCACTTTGATAGTTTGAGTTTTTGAATTGCTTTTTATAAACTTAGGGATGTGATATTAAAAAATCCTGAATAATAGGGTTGGTGGTAACAGGGTTTGACTGTTATATTAGGCTATAGACATTACTAGCCTCAAGGTCATGCACGCAAAACCATGGTTTTAAACAAAACTATAACTATACCATGCAAAAACACAGAGTGTTGACATTTAAGATGAGACTTTTACTTTTCCTTCCAGTTCCATGCACTTCCTAAAAGGATAATCTAATGGAATACATATTAACTTATACACTTCTTGTTGTGCTATATTATTATCAAATATTGGATTCAATCATTTCATCAGCTTACATTCAGCACAAGTTTTGTACTTCTTTTTTACTGACTGATCATGCACTCATCTGAGCTTTTGCACCTCCGTTTTTGAGTGAACTCGGACAAAATGATCCACAAATCAAGCATTGCAATTAGTTCAGGCAGGCCACGTCAGTCAAGCTCGCATCAGCTGATAGGCAGCTGTTCCTGACGTGTACCAATCCAGTTTTGACACTTATCACAGTGGTCCATTTCAATTCCATTCTCCAGCATCTCTTCTATCGCATCGCTGCTCGCAAATCAACTCCCTCCTCCAACCCCAACTCCACCTAACTGAACCGGTAATCTAATCTGATTTTTCTTTTCTTCGTATACAGTTCACTATATTGCAAGCATTCTCTATCATATATTTTGTGTTTTCTACAGCTCATGTAAATTGTGAATTGTAATTATGTATGCATATACTGGATCTGTTCTGTACCCCAGGGGGGCGTGGGGAGTTTTGCCCAGAACAGAACCATACTGCCAACACTAACTGTATGCTATAATTGTAATAAGCATACTTTGACAAAGTGGACCTGACTGAAATAATGCATTGTTCATTTTTTATGGATCTGAGGTGCATAAAGCTTGGATCATTGAGGTCTACGACCAATCAGTTCCAAAAAGAAACATAAAACCTGTACAAATTAAAAGAAAAACTTTGTAATCAGGATCTCAGAGTATAATGTCAGTAGTGTGGGAATGGAGTAGCCTGGCTGCATGAGCAAGATGTTGAAGGATCTAGAGTTACTGAAATGCTTTTATGTTATTGGCTGATGCATTTTTTCTGATAGCATAATGGCATAGGGGTGTAATGGTGAAAGTGGTGAAACTAGCATTGTTAGACTATTCTTACATAATATTACTAATACCTAACTCCATCTACCAAAATCTGGTTTTATTTTGGGGCTTTTCAAAAAAGCACAAAGGTCGTGAAACTGGTCTTCACATGTCCAGACAAGATTTTGAGATTAACCAGAAATGGCATTTTCATTTAATTGGAGGGAGTTTCCTGTCATTTGTTTAGTGAGCAGCATGGATGCATGTTGACAGAATATAACTTGTAAATCAATTAAGAAGAGCAATTATATGGCCTATAGCTGTCTGAAGCCATACCCAGAGGTAAAACACCTATGTATGCAACAAATGCCATTATTGTGCTCGCAGAACCTTTTTCATCCCCCCCCCAATTTCTCTCTTTTTTTTTTTTTTAAAGATGGGACACAGTTATATTGGTCAGGAAGTGAAGTGTGAGAGAGAATGGAAATGGCTTAATCAGAGATAAAGTGCTATTTGGTTTCTGCAAAATAAGACATTGTGGCTTTTGTGCTGATCATCTTAAAACAGGCTCTGCTAATTCTGGCTGCCTTTCTAAAAGAACATCGAGAGCCACTCCATCAAGAATCCTGATGAGAAGCGCTGACAGTACAGGACATCAATCAATCGGGGAGAGGAAACGCATTTGCTCTAAGGAATTGTTCGTCCAAAAATGCAAATTTGCTGAAAATGTACACGCTCTGAGGTCATTCAAGATGTAGATGAGTTTGTTTCTTCATCAGATTTGGAAAATTGCATCCTTTACCTTTCCGCAAAGATTTGCCAGCACTGGTAAGTTAGATATCACATAGGTAAATAAACAGCCTAATCATTTGTCCCCAATTATCACTAACAACACCGCATATGCAAAGCAGTATATAGGCTAATAGTAATAATAATTAATAATAATAACAATAATAATCATACACATTCCTTGATGACTAACAGCAAACATAATCTAGTGAGTGTAAATAAGAGAGCTGTGTTCTCACCTGCTGTTGCTGCTGCTGCTCTTCTCTCAGTGTGTGTGTGTGTGTGTGTGTGTGTGGAGCGGCTGACACATGCCCACCGCGCGCTAGTTCGGCTGTCATGTTACCTTGAAGAGCTACATTAGAGTGAATTTAACAGTCTCAGCTGGGAAAAGTCTTTCTCTGACGTCAATTTCGGCAAGAATCGGCATCCTAAGCTTGAATGAATGTACATTTAGCATGTCATCACTTGCTCACCAATTAATCCTCTGCAGTGAATGGGTGCCGTCGGAATGAAAGTGCAAACAGCTGTTAAAAACATCACAAGTAATCCACACCACTCCAGTGAGACGAAAAGCTGTGTGATTGTAAGAACAATCCATCAACACATTTTGTACTTCAATCCGTTGCTTCTGGCTAAAAGTCCTGCTCTATCCATAATATTGCTTTCTCCACTGAAACAGTCGTCTCGTTTGAATAAGGAGAGAAATATGCACAGATCAAGCACCATTTACAAGAGAAAACAACCCAAAACAGTTCTAAACAAATATGTCGGTGGATTTTGAACAACAGGGATGGACTTTTTCCACTGGGAGAAGTGTTTTTAT